ATATATATGATGATTATTGGTGATTGATAATCGATGACGGATTCTAGAGTTCAGAAGAGGCTTTCACTGCCTGAATTAATATTCATGTCTGCAGTAGTGATATTGTCATTGTTTATGTTGCAGAATATCAATGCTAAATGAATTTGTGTTCCGGTTAATTGGGTAATTAGTTATCCAAATATTCTGTAGGCTGCTGAGAATTTGCCCCCCCAAAATTATGATGGTAATTATCCCAATAACAATGATGATAATGATATTCACATGAATGACAATGATCAAATAGAATTTTTAATAACTGAAAAAATAAGTAACAAAGATAATAATGATATGGATAATAATAATAATAATGATATGATCAATAATGATTATTATTATTACTATTATTATTGTTATTATTATTATCATTCTAAATGCCGTTTAATATCTGGTAGGAGGATAACGATAATAGCATTGGTAATACTGCTACTACTGATGATGATAATGGTGATGATGATGATGTGATGATGTTGATGATGATGATGATTATAAAAATAGTAGTATCACTAAATATAATGACATTATTATCATTGTTATTTTATTGCTAGCATCCTCCTCATCCTCATCATCATCACTATCATTATCATTATCATTATTATCATCATCATCATCGCCATAATAATAGTAATAATAATAATAATAATATTAATAATAATAATAATAATAATAATAATAATAATAATAATAATAATAATAATAATAATAATAATAATAATAATAATAATAATGATATGATAATAATAATAATAATAATAATAATAATAATAATAATAATAACAATAACAATAAAATAACAATAACAATAACAATAACAATAACAATAACAACAATAATAATAATAATAATAATAATAATAATAATAATAACAATAATAATAATAATAATAATGATAATAATAATGATAATAATAACAATGGTGATAGTTATAATGTTACTGCTAATAATAGTGATAATGATGAAAATAATATCACTAATGATGTTATCACTAATGATGTTGTACATATTCCCGGGGCGCAACCTGGGGTGGGGGCGTCGTTATTTTGTTGTTCTTTAACGAGAGCATGGTAGTGGGATCATATGAAAAGACTAGGAACACACAATTTCCTTTTTAATAATAATAATAATAATAATGATAATAATAATAATAATAATGATAAAATAAGCAGTAGAAGTAATGACAATAGTTGCGGTGGAGCTAATAGTAGTTGTTGTTGTTGTTGCAGTAATCTTTTAATGATGGCTATCACAATTGATAACCAAATTATTTACAATGAATTCACCAATGGTAATTAAGAGGATGGCTGTGATGATATATGTGTATATATATATATGTGTGTGTGTGTGTGTGTGTGTGTGTGTGTGTGTGTGTGTGTGTGTGTGTGTGTGTGTGTGTGTGTGTGTGTGTGTGTGTGTGTGCGTGTGTGTGTGTGTAATATAATATAACAATAATAACGAAGCCTGATATAAGTACACACCAAAGTTCCTATCATCAACAGATATACAAATGTTGCAACACTTGTTTGTCGAAACTCACACTTGTTGACACTTGTTATCCAATCGTACCAAAGTATAACTGACCATTACCCAATCAACGACCTTTTACGCCACGCGTCCGAAACACTCGTTTATTCAACAAGCCATTTTCATTATCCATTGCATTAAAGCAGAAACAACGAATAATGGGATTGCAA